TTGTAAAAAAAACAACTGGATCCATATCTCACACCTTACACAAAAATTAATTCAAAGTGGATCAATGACAATGAGACATAATCTCACACCAGTAAGAATGGCATTTATCAAAGCAAACTGGAAACAAGTGCTAGTGAAAGTGGACAAAAAAGTAACCCTCATTCACTGTTCATCAGAATATATCACCTGGTCCAACACGTACAATATGGAAATTTCTCAAAAAGAGTGAAGAGTTCATTTGACAACTTCTAGGTATCTATCCCCAAAACAAAACATTAATTTTTTAAAATTACATAACACATACACACACATACGCACACATACATGTACGTACATCTATGTTTAATGCAGATCTTAGTGCAATAGTCAGAATATGGAAGCATCCCAAACGTTAAAGAACAGATGGATAAAAACCACTGTGGCATATATAAAACAATGGAACATAGCAGTCGCAAGAAGTAATCAAGTCTTAAGTCAACTTGGGATGATGTACTAGAGCACACCATGCTGGTTGAAGTAAACTAGATATAGAAGGACCTATACAGTATGATCTTACTCGTGTTATACAGAGAGAAACAAATCAAGGGTATTGACAATATCCACTGATAACAAACCATGGGCACTGAATTATAGACCAGAGAATGTTGAGTCTGTGGGGAAAGGGTGAGCTGAATGAAGAGGCTGACTGAGAGTAACATATATTAAGTAAAGAATCTGGAACACAAAGATGGTGGCCTACAAAGGTAATAGTATGACTATTAAGACATAACTGTCAATCAACAATCAACAAATAATGGCAGGATGGGTGGGAGAAAGGGGGCTCTGACCAGAGGTGAGACAGGAATGAGGTGAGGGTCATGAACACTTTCATGGTGATGGTGTGCTGTCTGCAACTTTGTACTCCAATACCATCAATTTAAATACTATTGTAACCTTACTACCGGAACTATAAGAAATATATACATATATATATGATTTTACCAATAAATTTAAAATGTCAAGAAACCATTTTGTTTTTGTTGGTAAGGTGTGGGAGCATCCACTCCCCCAAACAGTCCTCAGGGAACCCAGAGACCCACTGCTGGCAATACTCCAGCCAAGGTGGCAGGGGCAACAAGGTTGCCCTATACCCAGTGGTACTTACAAGAACATGAGGCCCTGAGTTTAATACATGGCACACATACATGTATACACCACATTTCAATAAATCTTTCTATATAAAAAAAATGGGAGCAAAAAAATCAGAACGTAGATGGGAAGTATAGGTAGGTACAGGATATTAAAAAGGTAGTAGTTGGAGGGAGAATGAGATACCTATATTCTAGTTACTGCTGATAAAACAGCCCTGACTATGTTTTCAACCACCAGTCCTCGGACTGGTGCAAATAAAAATGTTGACAACCACTGATCTACTACAGTGGTACTAACTTATGATTTTTAGACATAAGGTTGAAAATCACTGTTATACACTATTGCCCTAAGAAGAGTATTGGGACATAGTAAGAAAATCGTTCATGGTTAGACCTGAGTTTCAGGTGTTGGATATAAACCAGTAAGAGCTGAAGTGTAAGAAATTAAAATAGAAGATAGTATAAGGCTGTAAACAAAGTGAATTCAGATAACTGCAATGCAGAAACTATATAGAATAGCCAAAAGGAGAAAAAGAACAATTAAAAGCTAATAGAACAGGACAAGAAAGACAGCACAGGGGCTGGAGTGATACAGAACAAGCAGTAGCGTGTTTGCCTGGCACGTGGCCAACACAGGTTCGATTCCCAGCATCCAATATGGTTCCCCGAGCACCGCCAGGAGTAATTCCTGAGTGCATGAGTCAGGAGTAAGCCCTGTGCAATGCCGGATATGACCCAAAAAGAAAAAAAAAAAGAAGAAGAAGAAAAAAGACAGTACAGGGGTTAAGGGACTTCTCTTTTGTTCAGCAGGTCCTGGCTCAATTCCCAGCATCACTGGGTGCCCTGTCAGTCAGGTGAAACTCCACACCTCCCACCCCAAGTATCACTGCGGGGCCTGAGCAATAGCTTATCTCAGCCCAGTTGGTGAAGAATCACTGGAAAGAGCTTCTAGGCCTCCTGAACACCAACTGGAAGGCACCCTGCAACACACAGTGATAGTACAATTTCCTAGTGGCCACCAGCACCACTAGGTCTAAGCAGCACCCCATCAGCAGACCCTAACATTGAAAAGTCAGGCCCAATTGCCAGAAGAGGCCCCTAGCTCCTAAGCATCCTGGGTAAGTCAAAACTTAAGTAAATTAAAAATGGCGTAACATTCCAGTTATTGACTAAACTAGGCCATTCAAACATATAAAGAGCTACAAAATTCATCCATGCTGTATATTTTGTAAAACACATAAGCAAGCCAAAGGAAGACATCTATTTTTGAACTCTGCTGCCCTAAGAGAACATTAAACCATTCAGGGATATTTATCTCATTATTTATTTCCTTCGGCTGCCATAAAAGGCTAAAAACACTGGAGGACTTAAAACAACAAGCATGTATTATCTTACAGTTCTGGAGGCTACAAGTCCAGTATCAAGGTTTTGGCAGGGCCATGCTCTATGCAAAGCCCCTTTGAGCGGATCCTTCCTTACCTCATCTTCCTCCCGGTAGCCCCAGACACTTACTCATTTACAGCAGTGTAATTCAAATCTCTGCCTCTATCGTCACAAGGCCAACCTCTTCCTGTGTTTCTTTCTTTTCACATGGCACTTTCCTCTTATAAGAATATCAGTCATGAACATGTTTGCCACTCAATGCCTCTTTTGCAGACCACAACACCCAAAAGGAGAGAGAGAACACAGGGGATTGCCCTGCCACAGAGACGGGGGGATGGGGGGATGGGGGTGGGAGGGATATTATCCATGGTGGTGGAAAATGGGCACTGGTGGAGGGATGGGTATCTGATCATTGTATAATTGAAACCAAAGCACAAAAAATTGTAAATCTACAACTTTAAAAAAAATAAAATAAAATAAAGGGGAAAAAAAAAGAAAAAAAAAAAAAGAATATCAGTCATAATGAACTAGGGTCCCAACTTCTCCAGTATAATCCCATCTTAAATAATTACATCTGAAATTACTCTATTTTCAAATAAGGTCACACTCTTGAGGTCTGAGACATTATGACGGACAGGATTCAACTCATAACAATACACCTCCTACTTAATGTTCTCAGCACTATATGTTTTTTAATCAGGATTTCTCGCAACCATTTCTCTTAATAGCAAATTTTCAAAGTCCACATTTTGTAACTATGGGTTAAATCACTACAGTTTTGGAGAAATGAAGAAAAATGATACTCAGTTTATTAGATAAACTTAAATTTAATTAACCTTAAATATGTAACAATTTTGAATAAAACTGATTTTTCCTCCAACAGACGAGAGTGCTTTTTTTTCTATCTGCTCACATTTTTTTATTTCTCTTAAGTATATATACAACTATATAGAATATCAGTGATTTGCAAATGTGGGAAGCATACTGACAAGTCTAGTGAGCCTTCCTTTTCTAATAATGAGTACGTAAAGCCAGATTTTCTTCGCAATACTCAACCAAAATAATACATTACGAAAGACTAACTGCAGAAGGAGCCACAAAAACCTAGTTGTGATGGCTAATTTTGTGTTCCAATTTAACTGGGCCACACAGAGTTCAGAGATAATTGCTTAAACATTATTCTAGGTATGTCCGTGAAAGTGTTTCAGGACAAGATTAATATTTGATCTTAGACTGAGTAAAGCAACTGCCCTTCCAATGTTGGTAGGATTTATTCATTAGAGGTCTGAATAAAACAAAAGGCTGAACAAGGGAGAACTGGCTGTCTCTGCAAGATGATCTTCAAACTGAGATTATCAGTCTTCTGCTGCCACTGGTCTCATATTAAAAGTGTGGTTCTTGGGCATTCAGACAGGCCTTTAGCATCATCTGTAATTTTATTCCTCAGGTAGGGCTTCAGATTTAGATGAGAAGTATACCATCAGAGTTCCTGAGTCTGCAGACTGTAGACTTTATGAATTTTCAGGCCCCATAATTACACAAGTCAATTTTTTACATTATAAATGTATTTTGCATGTATGTGCATATACATATATTTAAATATATCAATTTTATATATAGGTATGTGTGTAAATGTCTCTCATTGGTTCCATTTTTCCTGGAGAACTTTGTCTTATACACCAAGTCCTCTACTAAAAGCTCAGTTTTATTAAGAACCAAGTCATAACAACTAACTTTTTGTTTTGAGAAAGTCCTTTTTCCTTTTAATATATACTAATGGATATAAACATCTGATAAGAATAACAAACGGTGGAGGACAACACAGTCTGAGAACTGGTCTACAGAACCGAGCTTAACATGATGGTGATAGGGTGGGAGGGTAAGTTGAAGGGGAAACACCGGGGGAGGCTGTAGTGTTGGAAGACTGTATGTATGAAACCCTGTTATGAACAGCTGCAAACCAGATTCTAAAATTATACATGTATTATATACAATTTTTACATTACATATATATTACCTCTATTATTATGTTTTTTTATTTCTTTTGGCCTTGGGGCCACACCAAGCTGTGCTAAGGGTGTATTCCAGGGTCTATGCTCAGGGATCACTCCTGGGAGTGCTCTGGGAGCAAACACAGGTTGGCTGCGTATCAGGCAAGCACCTTACCCACTTGTAGTAGCTCTCTGATCCCTGGGTGTGTTACTCTAAAAGACACATCTTTTAATTCTATAAAGCTAAATATCAACATAGATAACCCACATGAGCAAAGATTCCAAAAAATACCTCTGAAGAATGTAAGAAGTGAGGGGGGAGGGGGATACTGTAGGTAAGGCAGAGAGAGTAAACCACTATATAATTAAGGTTGCCAAGGCTTTATGAAAAAATAATAGAATATTAAAGTAGCTATTTCCACTCTACACAATTATACTGGAATTTTTCATAGTACTTACCAAAAGAAAAGTAATTTGCCAATTATACAAGACATACCTTATGATCTTTAGAACTCTGCTGAGTTTTCCCCAAAGGGAACACGTGAGTATCAGAAATCTGTCTTCCACTTTTATCTTGACATACTGACTGTTGCCTCACGTAATGAGTCATCTGAAAATTTAAAGATTTAAATACAATAGTTGTAGTCACTATGATTAAATAATAATAAACAATAACTTAGTCCTATATTAAGTTCTTTCTGAGCTGGGGAGTGTCTTTTCCTTTCACTTTTACTTTCCAATAAACCTTTCTATTTAAAAAAAAAGTCAACAATAATAAAACCTAATATTTAGATTCTTATCTCTCAGTTTATAAAACACGGACATTTATAGTAACATTTTGACTTCACAATCATTACCTGAGTTATAATCTTCCTTTGAATAAAGGGTTAACAGGGCCTTAAAATCACAGAGTTAGGACTCATCATACTTACCAATAGTTCATAGATAACCAATATTGAAACAAGTATTTAAGATGAGCAAACAGTTTGTGGAAAATATGATACTATATTTAGAAAATTCTAGACTTGAAATAAAAGCTACTAGAAATAATAGATTTGCATATTAAAGTGGCAAGTTACAAGATTAGTACACAAAAGTCCATGGCTTTCCTATATGCAAATAATGAAATAGAAGACAGACTAGAAACAATCCAAGGAATTGGAGTGATAGGACAGAGGATCGGACATCTGCCTCACAAGCAGCCAACCTGGGTTCAATCCCTGGCATCTAATATGATCCTAGGGCTGGAGCGATAGCACAGCGGTAGGGCGTTTGCCTTGCACGCAGCCAACATGGCCGACCCGAGTTCGATTCCTCCGCCCCTCTCGGAGAGCCCAGCAAGCTACCGAGAGTATCTCGCCCGCACGGCAGAGCCTGGCAAGCTCCCCGTGACGTATTCGATATGCCAAACACAGTAACAACAAAGTCTCCAATGGAGACGTTACTGGGCCCGCTCGAGCAAATCGATGATCAACGGGAGGGCCTTTACTTTACTTTACTTAATATGATCCTAAGAGCCTGTCAGGAAGTAATCCCTGAGTGAAGAGCCAGAAGTAAGCCCTGCGCACTGCCAGGTATGGCCCCAAAACCAAGAAGATAATAAGTAAAAAACAATCCCATTCATAATTCAGAAAATCAAATACCTTGGAATCAGTTTAAAGAGGTGAAAGACATAAACAAAACTTCAAGACACTACTTCAAGAAATAAAAGAGGACATGAGGAAATGGAAACGCATCCTCTGCTCACAAACTGAGAGGCTATCATCAAAATGTCAATATTCCCCAAAGCACTGTAAAAATTCAATGTCCTATTAAGGATACTCAAGACATTTTTCAAAAAAAAATAGATCAAATACTCCTGTAATTCTTACGGAACAATAAACACCCAAGGATACTTAAAGGAATCCTTGAGAAAAGGAAGATAGGAGGCATCACTTTTCCTTACTTCAAACTGTACGAGAAAGTGAGAGTAATTAAAAAAGCATAGGGACTGGAGCAATAGCACAGAGGCCGACCCAGGTTCGATTTCCAGCATCCCATATGGTCCCCTGAGCACCGACAGGGGTAATTCCTGAGTGCAGAGCCAGGAGTAACCCCTGTGCATCGCCAGGTGTGACCCAAAAAAGAAAAAAAAACAAACAAACCAGTATAGTACTAGAGCAAAGACAAACCCTCAGATCAATGGAGACAGACTCTCAGCTATTTACAAGTTAATCTACAGTAGAGAAGCAAAAAATATTAAGAATTCTCTTCAACAAGTCGTAACAGGAAAACTGGTCAGCTACAAACAAAAAAATTAACTTAAGACTTTTTTTCTAATGCCATGCACAAAAATCAAATCAAAATTAAAGATCTTGATAACAGACCTGAGTCTGTAAGTTTTTTAGAGAAAACACAGGCACAACTCTCTTCAAGGATGAAACGCCACTGATCACACAAGTCGAAGCAAAGATGGGACTAATTTAGACTACATTAAATTAAGAAGCTTCAGCTCCTCAAAGGCAATGATGATCAGGATACAAATATAGCCCATGGAATGGAAGAAATTATTTGCCCACCACCCATCTGATAAGGGGTTAATATCATGATCTATAAAGCAACTGGCAGAGCTTTGTAAGAAAAAAAAATTCCCAAAATGGGAAGAATAATGGAAATTTTCTCAAAGAAGAAATACAGATGGCCAAAAGGCATATAAAAAAAATTCTCTGAGAACAAAAGGGAATGCCCTGCCACAGAGGCAGATTGGGATGGGGGGGGGGGGGGGATACTGGGATCTGTGGTGGTGGGAAATGGGCACTGGTGGAGGGATGGGTATTTGATCATTGTATAATCGAAACCCAAGCACAAAAAGTTGTAAGTCTACAACTCTACCTCATGATGTCTCACTAATAAAAATTTTTTTAAAAATTAAATTAAATTAAACCAAAAAAATGCTCTGCATCACTAATTACCAGGGAGACGCAAATCAAAACAACAATAATGTATCACCTCACACCAGAAACAGCAAACATAAAAAAAAGAATAACTACTGTTCCTATGGATGAAGGACTGAGGAGAGGAGGGGCTCTCATTCACTGATGGTGGGAATGTCAATTGGCCAAACCTTTCTGGAAAACAACATGGACATTCCTAAAAAAATCTAGGAATTGAGCTTTCATATGACCCAGCAATTCCACTCCTTAGAATATTCCCAAAGGACCCCAAAACACAACACAGAAAAGACATCTGCATGCCTATGTTCACTGTAGTACTACCCACAATAGCCAAAATCTGAAAACAATTCAAGAGCTCGAGAATTAATGACTAGATCAAGAAGCTATGGTATATATACGCAATGGACTATTACTCGGCCTTTACGAAAAAATGAAGTCATGGAAGGCCAGCCACAGGCTCTAGGTGAAAAGGAAGCTCAGATAGAGAAGAGATTACCAAATGAAGGGTGTTGTGAGGGCCCTCCCAGGGTGGGAGAAGCATGCTAAAAGTAGTCGATAGACCAAACATGATTGCCACTCAAAGCCTCTCTTGCAAAACACAGTACCCAAAAGAAGAGAGAGAGAACAAGGGGGAATACCCTGCCACAGAGGCAGGATGGGACGGGGGGGGGGGGGGGGGGGGGGGGGATGAGGGGGGGGGATGCTGGGACCCATGGGGATGGATGACGGGCACTGGTGGAGGTATGGGGACTTGATCATTGTATAACTGAAACCCAAGCACAAAATTTGTAAGCCTATAACTGTACCTCATGGTTTTTCACTAATAAAAAAAAAAAATTTAAAAAAAAAAAAAAAAAAAAAAAAATGAAGTCATGCAATTTGCTGCTATGCGGAAGGACTTGGAGAGTACCATACAGAGTGAAGTAAGTCACAGGGGAACAGAGACTTACAAAAAATGATCTCTATCAAATGCAGGATAATGGTGGAACACAGACTACCCAAAGACAATGGAAACAAAGAACATGAAAACTGATATTAGGGAACATGACACTTGGCAGGGGGAGGAACAGGGCAGGGAGAGACCAACAACCATGGTGGAGGGAAGCATTCAACCAAGAGAAGGAGGAGGTAAAGTGTTATGTAAGCAACCCTATCAGCAATAGTACTATAACCACAATGTAAAAAGTATATATATTTATAATATACATGTGTATTTTATTTTATATATATAAAATTTTAAAAAGTGCCTCTCATAGAGGCAGACTGGTGGGAAGGAGACAAAAGTGGGGAGAGGCAGCACTGGTGGAGGAAAGTAAGAGACTGGTGAAGGGATCAGTGCTGAAACATTCTATGCCTGAAGCCCAATCATGACTAACTTTGTAACTTCATGGTGACTAAATTTAAAAAAAAAAAAAAAATTAAAGTAAATAGAGCTAAGGAGGAATGGCTAGAGTGCATACCTGCCTTTCACTCACGCACAAAGCCCTGGGTTCAATCCCTAAAATCACATGATCTTTTAAGAATCACTGGGTAAGGTTTTCACAGAGTTGGTGATGGGCGACTTCCCCACATCCCCTTGTTGTTCTGGGAGCCTGGCACTCAAGCCCACGAACTGCATCTGGCACCTTATAAGCTCATTAACCGACCTTGACTTGAACAACAAGCTGCCAGAGGTGCCTACGGACCCCACATCAGGCCATATCCAGAGCACCCTGGTGCGGGGTGAGTGACTCCCCCTCATCTGCCCAAACAGAAAGAACCCCAGCAGCCAAAAACCTCTAGAACTCAATCACCGCCATACTCACAGCCAATCTCCACAGTGCTTGAACAAGCCTCATCCATAAATGAACCTGCTGAAAAACTCAGGTATGCAGGTTTTCTGACCCAAATCTTCAGGCTCTCACGGAGGTGGGGATGAGTGACCTCCCCCATTCCCCAATTCTTCTGGGAGTCTGGTAGTCATGCCCACAAACTCCTCTGGCGCCATATAAACTCATTAACTGTACATGATCCAGAGGCTCACAAATCAAACATGGAAGAGATCAACAAGCAACAGAGATCCTCCAGACCCCAAAGTCACCATCCAGTTACAAATTTAACTTCAGCTATATCACCCCATTTAAAATTTTAGAATTCCTGGAGCAACATCTCATCTCTATACCACTGGTGGAGTAGCACACCACATCGGATGGGTTTTTTAAGTAGAAGGCAATCAATCTCAATTTAAAAAAATATTAGCACATAAAGGCTCAATCCATAACAACATGTTAGTAATCTCTTATACAAGGGCGTACTAGCTCCAAAGTGAAATACAACAATGTTCACACACTTTCTTCTATGGACACCTTTTTTGATCATTTTTAGCTAATTATTCCTAGCAAGCAATACACAATAAATTATTTAGGGTCTTCTATAAGGGCAGGCTTGGGTGGTGGTTAGAAAAATTCAAAATAATGGTGGTGGGAAAATATAATGGTGGTGAAATTGGTGTTGGAATGTTGAATGCAATAAATTTTGCAAACAACTTTATAAAAATGAAATTAAAGTTTTAAAAAGATGTGAGCAAGACAAGAATGTTGACAACCGTTTTTTCTCAGCAGTTTACTGGAAGTTTCAGTGTAATAGCAAGACAAAATTTAAAGGTATAATGATTACAGAAAGATATAAAACTCATTGT